TGTCTGTAACAGTTAATTATTTTTTACTGCTATTGACACTCAACAACAAACATTGATGAAGTAACTTCAATTATTAAACATTAGAAATGAGCTAGAATGTGTTTTTCATACTCCTTCCTGTGTGTATAGCGCAGAGACTTTGTTTCAGCATTCTATTGTAATCAAACATTAGAAGGAAGAACACTCTCATAGATTTGTATTTTGACGGGTTATCTTCGTGTTATAGCAGAATGCAGAAGTCCCCTGGCATCTGGTTGCCATTGCAATATTCTTCACATTGCTTAAATTGCCAGGCCCATATTACCCATATTGGGGGCGTATTTTCATTCCACACTTCGCAAATGGTGGATTGTTGAGGACTCTATGGTTTGCATTTCTATGGTACAGAAAGCCTGGAAAGTCAGCCTCAACAACAGCACCTGATTACTGATTGCACAGTCAAAAAATTAGGCCCTAATGTGGAAATATTTAAACAGGTATGAAATGTCCCACAAAATAGTCCCTTGTGACTTTTCTGAAACCAATTTTCTTCTAGAATGCTTCTTTTATTGGTTATATAGATTTCATTTGTTGAATTTATTGCTAACATTGTTAATGGTTTTTGATAAGTTTGTAACCACTGAAATGTGGGATTTATTTATTTATTTTTGTTCTCGATTCAACTACCTTAAGAAAAATTAGAGGTCTTAAAACAGGAGATTCTTTTGTTTTCTCTATGCTGCAATCTACTTTCTGTAACTAAGTAAAAACCATCTCTGTCACGTGTGGCCAACACTAATCAATAGAATCAATAACCACCTTTACACAATCGAATTATGAACCATAACCCTTTTGAAGATCGGTGCCCACCCCCCCTCCATTTGTTTCAATTACCACTATGTAATTTTTACTTTTTTCATCAAATATTTGCATTGGCTCATTTCATTCTCATATAAGATGACTTGTTAATACAAAAGGAATTTTTGTACTTTCTTCTCCCCATATAATAATAATGACACAATCTATAAGATACCCTTCTAGTGTATAGCATGCATTCCCATTCCTGTGCTTTGTGTACTTGGGGACATACTGTGTTTGATTAACGAAAGATAGAAGATCCATAGTTGTACAAGCTATGTATGTGTGTGTATCACTATATGCGCTGGTCGACAAATTTGAAGAAACCTGCTTGGCTTTGTTGAGGGTGTTCGCAGTCTGATCATGAGACGACACGTGAGTGAAAGGGCCTCTCTAACCGTGAAAAGTGGTGGGTGTTGACTAACAGCCATTCCTGGCTCGGCTCTGATAACTCAATTCCGGGAGGATTCGGTGATTGGGCACTACCTCCAGTTTACCGATTTCTTCTGCACTTGTTGAGGGCGGTCAGAGACTCAGAGGCAGTTGTTAATTGCTTTATTCTTTCACATGATATGAAAATATTTTCATGCCTAAATAAAGAACAACTAACAGTTTTAAATGTGACTTCCCACTTTGCTGAATTGATGTGTTCTCCACGGTTCTTGCACTCCTTGAAATGTTACATCTTGGTTTTATTTAATAACATTTCTTGTGTGCAGGTTGGAGACGAAGAGGTTGCTGGATCAGGAAACTAAGCTATTTTCGAGATGCATATATCCACCAAGTTTATCTCCATCTTCAGAATTCTGTAGGAAGCGATAAAAGTAGTTTATCCCGTAGGTTTGCCTGCAAGCAAGAAGGTTTTAGCTCGAAGGTATAGATGGTTTTCTGTATCGGACGTCTAAAAGGGAATATGAGAAGGTAGTTTAGCATGTATTGTAGGAAGTGCACATTAGAAATTTGTTTCATTTTGCTTTTCCATGTAATGCTTGATATTATTCATTTTGAATTGTAGTTTTTCAGGTAAATTTTTTATGCAAGGCAACTCTTTTTTTTTTTTAAAAGGAAAATTACCTTTCATCATCACCTGTATATAGCCCTGTGCATGCGAGCATTTTTTTCCCCAAAAAGAACTCATCCTTATTTATAGAACCATTTGTGCCAAGTTTGAAAGGTTTGGACCAAAAAATGCAAAATAAACATTTGGGACCATTTGTGCCAAGTTCCCTTTAAAGTTAATTTCCCGGTGAGAAAAATAACGTATGGAGACACTGTGCTGTCTGTGCATATGTTTGAACTCCATTTTTTTCATAAGATATTATTTTTAAATTCATTTTCAACCATAAATTCTCCTATTAAATAATTTGATACATAAATTCAATTTTTTTTTAAAATTATACATTCTCTAGAAAATCAAAAATTTAAAAACTCATTTTCGCTCAAAAATGAGGGTCAAACAGGGCTTAAGCGCACACTTTTTTTATGAATTTGCATTTGTAAATATTGACTGTTGATGCCCACTGTTACGGTTCGTAAATGGAAGCAACATGTGGCATCATATTGCAGTGGTGGGACCAGCTTAGTTGAGTCAAGATGTATTTTCCTAACCTTTGACGTGGAGACCGAGGCCCCAGCTTATTCCGAGGCCTTAACTGGTCCAAAGCATTCGTTTATTACAGGACTATGTTATCAATGAAGATCCACGTGGAAAAGATATAGCAATAATGAAGATCTTCATCATTGTGATTGATGTGACTTTTGTGAAAAGCAATTGTCTTGTCTTGTCTTGTCAATGTAAGAGTATTTAATGTTTTGCAAGGTTAGGAAAATCAACTTGATTGCTAGGATTTGATGTCCTGGCCGAGGAGATGAAGCCACGTGTAAATTGATCCAAAAGTCATTATTTCATTTGTAACACTATAAATACCCCCACCATGTAACACAAAAAGAGTAATGAAAAATTCCAAATACTTGAAGCAATATCTCTCATTGGAACAGCGAATTTCAACTATAAATCTTATTTTTATCGATTGGTTTCTTATACAATCGTGTTACATTTATCTTGCCGAAAGGCCGAACGGAAACGACTCGTGTCTTTGAGCTACTCCCACGTTCAGTTTCTGAAGTCAACTTGACTATTATCGGCATTAGCGTGTTGGATCAAGCTTACGAGTGTAAGGGTGGGCTCGGCATCTGTTGGCAACATTTTTTGGGGTCAACAGATTGGTGCCGTCTGTGGGAATCCACACTATAACCACGAGCAACCCCGTGGAAAATATTTTGGGCATCCCCCTTGAAAAAGGATTTGTTCTTGCGAAGAGAACAAAAGGAAGCCCCCAGAATCGAAAAATTATTCAAGGTTTTGAGCTTGAGAAGATATGAGTTCAGAAGAGGAAGCCCCCCCTCCTCCGGCAAACTGATAATGAAGCCCCAGCGGTCTGACGCCGACCCCATCACCACCATAGATGAGGTGGTAGGAGGTTAGCGGCCCAGCTTACCAGAGAAATGGCGACTATGACAGCCAATATGAGGAACATCACCAACCAAAACTTGGCAATACAAGAATTGCTGATGTAGATGCAAGGCCAGGGAGGTCGCCCAATTCCTCCTTATGTGCCACAGGAGCAATATCAACCTGAAGAGGCACAAACTCAAAGAGCTCACCCTCCTAGGCATAACAAGGGAGGAAGTCCTATTGAAAGAGAAGTAGGAGT